ACAAGGAACAATTACATTTGTGTGAAGAGACCTCCAAGGACAAGATCAACGTCTGTAAAACTTCCATTGGCAGTCTCTCAATTTGAACCACAAGTGCCTGCACTGGAAATAAGGTAAATAAGAGGTAAAATACACAACAGCTTTCGATTCTGTGTGAAAACTGATTGTTTATTGGTAAGTTATACCTATAGTGTGGAAGTAATCTTTATGTTCTAATTTAGAGTCCTAGCTAGTTCAGCGCTTGGGCTCTAAAACGTTATAGCGATGCAAGGAACAAATACTAAACCATACATCATTACAGAAAATTCACTATATCCAGCATCTCATGCGGCTAAATGTGAGCTAAGTTCAAACTGGAAGCCATACAAACATATTAGCATAGCACTGTACTCAGTCTAGCAAGTCCAAAATCTCAACAGGGATTATTAGTTTGAGCACAGCACTGCACTAAACTGCCTGTATAGCTTCCAGTCTGCCATGGGCTCATATCCCACTGGCTCAGAGCCTAGGAAGGTTGGGTCTGTCTGTAGAAGACTACACAGGAACACTCATAGTTATTTACAGTAGCATGAGGAGGCATTGAGATACAGAAGCTCCACTTAAACGTTTTTCATTCTGCTACTGTAAGTCTTCATATTAACAAGTCAATCCAGTTCCACTTGTAAACTACAGCTACTCTATTCTGCTTTATTCTGGGTATATTTATATTTATTTTTTAGTGGACAGCAGACTAGCCAGTATCCCCTAGAAGGTTTGCACCATTTTGGTACACTAAACTGTGGGAGACAATGGAAACTATATGATTATTTCCAAAGAGAAGTAACTGCTTGGCTGGAGAAGAAAGAGTTAAAGAAGAAATAAAGTGCAATCAAGCAGAGCAACCCAGCTGGCTGAGGAGGAGAGAGCATAAGATACCAAGACACCTGGCTGAGAAGGAGAGAGCGTAAAGATAAGAGACTGACTATTCTGGGACTGGTTGTGAGAAAGTGAGCAGTGTTAAAAAACAAACTATAAGTCAGGAACTAAACATGATAGGCTAGAAATAGAATGGTATAAAAGCTAGAGCAATAGGCTAAAAATAACTGTTGTTAGAATGGTATAAAAAGTTAGAGCAGTAGGCAATAAAGTGATTCACTGCATGAAGATGCTCTGGGTCCATGCCTTCATCCCCTCACTAAACAGGCCACTGAAAAAAATCAAACAAAAAAACCCAAAAGAACTGAATTTTGCACCATTAAGATACCCAACTAATTCTACACAGCTTCAGGTCATTAAAACACAGAGAAACATAAATACATTCTTAAAGTGTTCCAGTCTCTCAACTGGAAAATGTATCCCATGACAAAAGGTTGCATAACTAAAATAATCTTTCTGGATACAGATTGATAACATGAGGGAAAGAAAAGGCAATCAGAGATGCCTTTAGTTTCTTAAGGCCAAGCATTATGAATTCAAAGTCAGAGCTAAAACACACATTAAAAGAAACCAAATTAGAGTTACGTATGGAAACAGACCACTACATCATCCAAACAACATTCAGTCTTGTGACAGTACAATAAGAACATTAATCATAAACATTTAGTGCCCCATACATAACTGTGTGCTATTTCATGGTATTACTGAATGCAAAGAAACATGTGTAAGAGCAAAGCCAGATATGTGCATTTTTTGCTTCAACATTCCAAAATACATTCAGTGGTACAGAGGATGACTCCACTTCCCATTACTGGTTTCATACTCCCTCCTTAGACATCCAATGCTGACAATAAGCAAAAACTAGAAGTATAACTTAGAATCATAGAATCAACTAGGTTGAAAAAGACCTTTAAGATCATCAAGTCCAACCATTACCCCAGGACTGCCAAGTCCACCACTAAATCATGTCACTAAGGGAATCACCTACATGGATTTCTGAACACTTCCAGGATTCCACCACTTGCCTGGGCAGCCTGTTCCAATGCCTGATCACCCTTTCAGCGAAGAAACTTTTCCCTAGTATCCATCTAAACCTCCCCTGGTGAGCTTCTTAGGGTCATGGTCACAAACCACAGCCAGTTATTTAAATAAATAAATAAATGTGTCCATACAGCAGTAGGGGGAAGGGAAAGACTTCAGTCTAGTGGAAGGAGCTGGGTAGATAAATCCTGGATATTTGACATTTTCTACAATACAGGAAACCAGCATAATCACAATTTCCTTCCATGTTCCAAGGTCATTGGCCACATGTCAACTCTAAATGCCATACCTTAAGCATCTTGTAAACCACAGACCTGTCAGGATGAGCTTTTTAACTGCAGTAGTTCAATTAAGGTAGTTGAGTAGCATTTAAAACAAACATGCCACTTCTGAGCTACTGACTTCAGAGAAGCCCATGAGAATTGAAAACAGTGAGCAGCAGGCAGAGAAAGCTCAAAGTAGCATTCATTCCTTCCCTCCCAGCATATAGGGACTTTCTGAGTCTACCTTTCCAACTCAGGCAGAAACTGCAGTAAAATTCAAATGAGCACACCCCACCTAAAAAGCACAGCACTGCGTTCTAAAAAGAAATGTCTTCAGTGGGCTAGTCTGGCATTCAAATGTGGGACACCATCCCCTGTGAACAATATGTTTTATGTAAGCATAAACCAAAACCATACCCCTTTTTTCTACATTCCCACAATCTTGGATTACTTGGGTTACTGGCACAAAATTGCAGTTTTCTTCAGCAGTCAGCCCCATGGGTCAGCTTGATGCTTTGAAATATTATTAGCTATAGTTTCTGAAATTGTAACTGTAACTGCTTTCCACAAAAACGTTTGTGAAGTTCCCTAGAATGAATCCAGGCTATTTTATTTGCCATTGTCTGGTGTTATTTTTTCCTTCATTTAGAAGGATTTTCTTCTTAATTTGACAATGAAGTCTGCAAATAATTCTTATCATGCATGACACTGCAATCAGTACCTGTACCTCCATCATAAACTTTCATACACACACAAACACTCAGTACAATATTTCTTTCTAAAAAAAAAAAAAAAAAAAGAACCTCTTTCTGGTGACTGCAGCTGATCTTCAGAAACAGAGCCATAAGGCAGCAATAGACTTACAAATCAGACTTCAGCCTGAGCCAGCTTTTTATTTTTTTTTCTATTATTATTCCCTTTATGACCATCTGTGCCACCTGTTAATGTGTTTTTCCCCTCACACAGACTCTCCACGACAATGATTTGCCATTCTGGCTGACCTACAAGTATCGATGGAAAGGAAACTGGATTAAATCCAACTTTGTGCCACCCAGTATTTGGGGCACCTGCTTGACTGCTGGTGTAATTAAATCTGCACTAAGTCTTCTTCAGTTTATGCCCAGTTCACCTACAAACCAAACACTATCAGAGCTTGTTGACACTGCAATCTCCCTTCTGGACTACCTCAGTTAGTGGAAGGAAACAGTACAGTGTGGTTACACAAGAGTGTGCTCTCTGTAAAGCAATTTTTGATCTAATATACTAGCACACTCTACTGAATGAATCTACTGAGATCTATCTTGTCTATTTATTAAAGGTGAATTCACAAAACAACCCTACACTCCATACTTGTGAATTCTCGGGGTTTCAAAGCTGGCTGCATGCCTGGTTTTGTCAACATTTTCCATATCAATTCTTCTGGCTGAACAGTCATCCTTAATCTTCCTTCTTGGGCAGAATTGCCAGAGACACACAATGCAAAAAAAATGAGGAAGAGAAGAACTGGGAAGGGCTGAGAATGGAGGAAAAGAAATTAAGTGACATGTTGCTACATGGCGAAATTCTTTAGTCACAGACTCAAGAATTCTTTGCTGTTTTCAGTAAGACCAGCATCAAAATAAATCTTATCGAGGAGCCCAACACGTTTTCTGCAGCATTTATTTTCCACATCTGGTTAAAGGCTGGCAACTAAAATGGAAATAACTACTTAAGCATAATTCAGAAGACTGAACAGCAGTGACACTGTCCAAAAAATCAGGAAGAACATGACAGTTACAAAGTATATCATTATAATTTCATCTCATGTACTGCTGACAACAGTCAGCAATAACAGGAAGGGAACTGCTGAAAAAGCACAAATGAGGTCACCTTCTTCTGGGTACTATTTTTAAACATTGCAAAATATAGATGAGGCTTTTAAAGATTGTAAAGAAAGGAAAGAGAGGGGAAAGAGAAAGAAGTAGGCAGATGTGTAACAAAGAATAAAGGTAAAAGAAATATAAAAGAGAGGTGGGGGAAAAAAGGGAATGAGGACACGAGGTAGATTTCATGCACATACTGATGGGCTTTACATTTACAACAGAAAATTAAACACTGACATCTGTGTCCATACAGTCTTCAAGTGGAGCTCATAGTTAGTAGCAGTGCATTCAGGAAGAAGGCAGAGGAAAAGAGTTACATCCTGAGCTCAGTTCGAAGCATAAGATAAAAATAAAAAGATGATGGGTTCAGTTTCATGTGAGTTCCTGGCAGCTGCTCAGCATTGCTTATTATCATAGCCCTGTTTGCTTGTTGAGTGCTGATAATGTGCCAAGGTCGTGGTGTGCTTTGGAGTCCTTCTGAGATCCTTAGTTCTGCAACTTTGAGACCAGATGGAAAAACATACTTTTGAACACCATTCCTAATGCCAAAGTTTAACAAATAATAGTGCTATGTAAACTCTGGTTGGGAAAAACAGTTAATGGAGGAATCAATCTTCATTTCTATTGCTTTTGAAGCAGGTAAGAGTTAGAAGTAAAATCACCTATACCATTTTAATTTTTGTTTAATGACTACTAACCTTTTAACCAGTACCTGAAACTATAACAAAGCTCCTCTTGTAACATTTTTAATTTCTACATTGAAAAAATTTTCAGCTGTTTACAGAGTAACTTACAGAATTATGACATTCAAGCATGTCAGCAGGTATGAACACCTGCACAACAATCACTACCATGTTACGTGTGCTGACTGGCACCATCTACTGAAATGCTTCAGACACTCATCTTTCAACAAACATACCTTGAAAGAGTCAGCCATATGCTTTCCAGTTTCTCCTGAACATCCTCCAGCCGTGCACTCATTCTGACAGCCCTGGCACAAATAAAAACAGTGGAAATCAAATTCAATGCACATTGCAGAAAAATTGATACCCATTCAGTTCATCCTGTTTAGGGACAGATGGTATTGAATGATCACTCAGCCTTTCTCATCAGTAAATATATTAGCAAGAACTCTCTGGAAGTTTCTTAGCACAACTTCCCACCTTTTACTTCAGTTGCATTATTTTATAACTGTATTTCAGGGCTTTATAGAAGAGACAACATCTCAGATTAGATCATTGCTCTGAAGTGCAAAATGGTATGCACAGCATCACAAGCCTTTCATTCAAAGCCAAAAAAGTAAACCGTGGTTTTACGCAAGTCCATCAAATGTCAGTTTCTCTACTAAAGCATCCACCTAACAGATTTGCTTTTGCCTTTTCTCAAAGAAGCCTGATGAGGCAGAATGGAAGAAAAAGGGAAAAAAATAGTTTTGTTAAATCCTTCATTAAATGAAGACAGTGATAAGGAATGCCCACCTATATAAATACATTGTCAGAATACTTTTAATTATTCAGTATGTTGATGCTAAGGCTTCTGCCACTGATCATGCTTGAAAGGAACTGAAAGAAGAGTGACAGTTCTAGGCATCCTTCTGTTCAGCAATAGAGGGATATGACAGACAGGAGCAAGCCACCTACTTAAAAGCAAGATCCCCAGTTCCCACAGCATCAGGCTAGCATCTTTGAGGACCCTCCCGCACTAGGTAGGTTGTCAGTGCTGTCAGGCTTTTAACCGGACAAGCAAAAAGCCCTAGCAGAAGCCTGCACGGGCTGTTTACCACTTGGTGGCTTCCTCTCACCCTGCCACCCTTCAGCCTTGATGCATTTTGGGTGGGAAGCCCCCGCTCATGTGGGAAAGCCCGAGGTTAAAGATGTAACAGGAAACCTTTTATGGTTAGTCTGTGAGATCCCCTCCCCAAACTCTTAATCAGGGAGCAGCTCTCACCCTACAAAGAGGACTGTGTGTAGGTAGGGTGGATGGCAGTGCCAGAGACACACTAGACACCACAGTCCTGCAGCAGCCACCAAACTGTGAGGCCAGGACTGGGGACACATGGCTCACAGGCTGTGAGGCATGACACACACAAGGCAAATAACATGATTGGTGTTCCCCTTTTTGCAGATCTTGGGGATACTGTAGACAGGGAAGGGGGGGAAGGCAGTTCTTCAGTGGGTCTGTAAGGGGTAGCAGGCTTGCTACCAACAAAAGAGCGAGCAAACTCCCAGCCACAGCAGATCTCACTTCCTCTCCCCTCCCCCCTAACGCCCCAGGGAGGCCATAACATCCCTCCTGCCTTTTCTCACCATCAGCTTTAACCCTTTTGTTCCTCTCTTTTCATAGTGCTCTACAGCAAGACATGCAATCACGGCTTACAGGCTCCTTCCTATCAACTGAAGGAGGACTAAGTCCTGTATAGTAGGTCCTTGCTTTCCCTGTGATTCTTCAAATACTTTCAAATGCAGTGGTAAAATCCCAGAAGGCCTTCATGACACCACCAGTTTATAATAGTTTAGTATTCCGCAGATGAATTAACCCAACCGATTTCTCTTTGTAGTGCAGTGAATTAAGGTGGAGAGTGAGCTGGTTACCAGCTAGTCGATGGTAACTGCCAGCTGTGGAGCAAGAATTTCTCAAGCATCTCAAGCTCCATTGTTGGCTTTTGTCTAATATCTAGTACGCGAAGTTGGATTTTCTAGTAATAATTACTGGTGACAGCAAATACTGACAAACACTCAACCATGATGCTTCAGTTTCTTCTCATGTCTGCTTCATGAAGTTGCCCTAAAGCAAGTGTTGGCATCAACACAGAGAGGACCAAAGCTGGATATAGTTTAATATTCTCTTTCATGATCTTTATAAAAAGGATACACAGCTTATATGTAATTTCAAGTGTGGACCACCTACAGACAGGCCCTAGGGGCTCCATCGCGTTGCCCTTCAGTTCAAAGTTTCCACTCAGCTCAATAAAGTCAACAGCCAATTTTTTGGGCATATGCCATAGGGCCAATCTTGTTCTCCACGAAGTCATTATGTTTCACAGATTTAACACATATTTAAAGCAAGTAGCTAACTGCCTTTGTTAACCGCATTGAGATGAAACTGAGTTAATCCCTCAGCACTAGAAAAGACATACCACAATTACTTTCTAATTGATAGAGTCATATTTTAATGGCTCCATAGCTTTTAAATCTGAAATATGTTGTTAAATGCAATAGGGAAAATTTCTCTCTGGTTTAGTGCCAACACTGCCAAGGGAGATATGCCAAGCTTAAATTTGCCCTTTGTGTTTAATAGCATGGTAGATTTAAAACTGCATCCGTTAAAACACTGATATTATCCTAAAGATATATTTGAGCCACTCAAGTCTGCATCCAGTTCCTATGCAATTACACAAAGCATGGCAGTATTTCCTGTACTGTGTTATAGAGCTAACAAAATTTCCTTTATGGTATAGGTAACTACTTTTTCTAAACTGATAAGAGGACAGTATTTCATATTTTTTCCTTCAAAAATACTGAAATTACACATTGATTTTACCATTACCGTATAGCCTGTATGAGAAAAGAGTGTAAAGCATTACACTAGATTAAATTTTGTTTAAAAACTTGGTTAATGTGTCATTGTATCACTACAAAACACTACTAAAAGACCTGGTAATAAACAATTCTGTCTTTACTTTTATAAAAAGATCTCAATGCTATAATAATCATCGCATATCCTTTAGCTTTGCAAAAGTAATCACAGTTGGGTAACAATGCTCCCTTACATTAGTACTTACTTCAAATCTAACTTGCACAAAGAGGATGTAGCCTTAGGGGTGTTAGTCTCCTCCCAACATGTGAAGGACCACTGTGTGTTTAACACTTACTAGCACTTCTATATAGTTGCCACCTGCACTTCTACTAGAGCTTTCCCAAATCTGAACATTCAACTCATGCATTTGGTCTTCAGACTACATTAGACATGTATTTTCAACATCTTTTAGCATCAAGATGCTCCAATCAATGCCTCTTGGCTTTTTTTTGCTGTCTTTGTCACACCTTCTCTGGCTACTATTTTGCTACAGGCGTGAGACCTTGTAGATCTTTCAGGGTATCCTCCTGCATCTCACAGCTTCTTCAGAATAGACAATCGACCTCTTTTATGCAGCTCACTCATCCTTCAGCTAAAAGGACCTGATACAAAAACAGGTCCATCTCCTCCCTAAACTACATGAGTTTGCCTAACTCTTAAGATGTAATTTTAGCCATTTATCAAGCCAGAGATCTTTGAGGTATCTTTGTTAGGTTGGAGCACTCTCCATGTATTGGTTTGCCAGTCTTCAATAATGGGTTCAAAGACCTTGTACAAGACAAATTCCAGAGCAGCTCCAATGATACATCTCAATGTATGATCTCATGGATCAGCACAGGGGGAAGAAAAAAAAACCCAATCCCCCCCCCTCCCCCCACAAAAATATTCACACACAAAATAAAAGCCAGGAAAAAAAAAAAAAAAAAAAAAAGGACAATTTGGCACATGCTGTTTCAATGCTTTGCTTTTAGTTCACCAAGAATTCTCATTTGTGTTGATTTCTGCACTTCCCTAACATATATCTGATGCCTTGTCAGCTGGGTGTTATCACATTACTGTGGCTGCTTGTTCAACCTTGAGCTGGCATTAATGTTAGTTAAACAGTGAGGCAGTGTCATAACAATACACAACAAAGAAAAGAAATAAAGCAACCAGCATAGCAGAAAAAGAAAGCTTCCACATTATTTAATGATAATTTTGCATCAGAGTGAAAGCCTCAGGCCTTAGAATATGCAAGAGTTTCTTAATCTAAGATACCTGCATTGCACAAAGTAATGTTAAATTTGAATAGATTATCATTACACTAGTCTAAAACATGCAGGCATTAATCATCTGGCTTGAGCAGTTCATTTGGTTTAAAACAATTTTAGTAGTTCTGATAAAACTGAAATATGCTTCTCTTAATAAAAACAGCCATGCTTGTTTTATGTTTACATAAAAGAATTCAGATTATATGAGCACAACTTATTGGTTAGAAAAAACTTAAGAACAAAAAGAAATGGAATTATTCAGCTAGTCCATCCAAGATTCATAATTAGAAACATGTATAGCTATATCACAAGTCTGAAAGCAGACCAAATCGGTTTCACAAGATCAAATAAATGCAGGACAATGTTGCTAAAGTAAAGTCATTGCAGCCAGCACGCATGTAAGAAACCTCTCTAGGAAACAATGCAATTTTTTTGACTCAGCGCTTAAATTAGTATCTGAATGAGTTCAGTAATGCCTAATGTGTTGTACAAGAAAGCTTGTATCAGTTCACCTGCGAGGTAACAATGCTAGGCAAGGTGAAGGATAACTACTTCTGAAATCCAAAAAGAACATGTGCTTGAGAAACTTGATTATCAAGAAGGCTAAATGGAAGAGTTCAGCAGCAACAGAAAATAGACTATTTACAATAGAAAATTTGTTTTAACTAACTCTAAGAAGAACCTGACATGGAATCTATTCAGCTTCAGGCTAAAATTATTTTCCCAGATATTCCAGAGAATTTACAAGATAAGCTGTGAATTACGCATATACAACATGGAGTCTAAAATGTGATCATTCCCAATTGAAGGATATTGAAGACCTACAACTAGCCCCATCCAATACAGGGCATAAAGCAGCTGTACATCTCTGCATGGTGTCCCTTTATTCAGTAGTTAATTCTGTCTTAATACATTTCTGGCACAACCATACAATCCTCCTTCCTATTTTCTTTACAGAAATAGGCAAGTACTCTAAAAGAAATCCTCTTCACAAATGACCTCCAAAAACAACATGCCTTAACCTTAATTTCTAAGCCCACTGCTCACACTGTTCTTGTTTCTTTTCCTTCCTATGACCCTCCTGTTGCTCTGTCACTCCCCTGTGCCATTTCCTCTATCTTTATTACCAACTCTTCCCTTCTGATAGAGGAAAACAGCCTTGAAC